CTGATTCTCAACAGTATAATTTTATCAAATACATTTGATTAAAAACCTGATTATATTAATTACTTGAATTTTACTATATTAATATAACTATTGCAACACTATCACTGCGTTCTGTTTTTAAACTGGATAGTCCTAGTTTTTTGAACTTTCAATCCTGGCTTTTTAAATTTGAGCTTGGCAACCCTAGCTCCACTATTTAACAGCGCACGCATCTTGGATCCCGCGCGGTTCATAATTACACTAATGGCAGCTAACGAACGTTTTGCAATATTAACGAGGCTTGCGTTGGCGCAGGCCTGGCCTCGTCCTACAGCGAGCGCGTCATCTCATTAATAGTTAATATTGTATTAGCCAGAGCTGAGTTGTCGAGCAGAGTGGAGCACACGCCTACCGACACGAGCACACGAGACGCAGCCGGGGCCCGGGACCTGCGCAAACAAACTCGGCGACGACTTGAATTATTTAAATGAATCCTGTCACGCACAATCCAGACACAAAGCCTTGAGACAGGTGAACCGTGAAACTCGTTGGAGTGTGAGCATCCCCGGCGAACATGCGGCTATGAGTTGTGATACGCTCTGTGATGTAGCCAACTAATAACAATTAGGGGTTCCCGAAATATACCAATCGTGTTTAGCTTCGGCATTTAATTACAAGTTTGGTGACTGGCCTATATTAAATTACTTTGGCACGTAAATCAGTCTGCATCCGACTTTCTGATAGGGTTCTTCGTATTCCAAACGTACAAGCCATTGCTGCAGGTAGTTTTTTTAATCGATAATAATGGTATACGCAGGTGGAGCACCAGTGAAGGGTGATAGGATGAGCATCAGATCAGATCAGTTAGCCCATCGTTACAGATTTATCACGATGGTCTCCAGGGGGAATCACGTGGAGGTCAACTTGACATGGAACATTGCTCGCAATGAGGTCATGATTTCAGTCCATGTTACTAACAATCCCACCCCCTGCTGCAGGTAGTTGCTGAGTGCTGCCAATGATTTGACCTTAAAATAGGTACTGAAGTCCAATTTTTGTGGACTGTGTTCGATATTATTTAGTAGAAAAAACAGATTTGACATGTCATAAGAGTCTGTAATAGACCTACATGAATAAAGATGTTTTAAATTTTGACATTTTTGATTACTATATATATATATATGTATACTCATTCAAGCGGACCGACTATAATATATGTACACAGTATTTATCATCACCACAATATTATAAATTGTATTGTTTTTTGTTTGTTTTCTTAGAACCAAAAAGAGTTTTGTGAACAATCACGCTGGCTGGCAATATTTTTGCGCTCAACAACAGCAGAATCATTAATTATTGTTTCTAGTACAACAAACAATCTCCAACTATACTCTATTTTCTAATCGCGGAGACTAAATTAACAGATGTAAATGTCAAATTTTCAAATAATATTACCACCTACAGCGGGGTAGTGGTGTACCTGCGATACCGATTTGTTTAATCGGAAATTCGAATTTTATTTTAACATATTAGTTTTAAAGCTTTAAATACGGTTCCACAACAGAATTTTAATATTTACGTACATATACTAGTGTTTCCATTACTGTCGTCGTATTATACAGCATAATAGAAACGGTAATTTTTACAGTATTAAGCTACAAACCAACATTTTTTCTTTCAAACAGTATAATACTTTAAATAGGTGTTTAGTTTATGATATACTAGCTACACACCCCGGCTTCGCACGGGTGTACATGTATTATATATATAAACCTTCTTCTTGCATCACTCTATCTATTAAAAAAACCGCTTCAAAATCCGTTACGTAGTTTTAAATCTTTAAGCATACATAGGGGCGGATAGACAGCGACAGCGACTTTGTGTTATATTATGTAACGATGATACCTTAAAAAGGTCATTTGCTTTTTAAAAAAGATTTTAAAAAAGGTCTTTTTTTATAAAAAATAAACAACCATATATTTATTAATTAACCTATACTTTATAAAATTTGTTCTAATGCGTTTTATACAAACACTCACACATTATTTCTGAATAACCTATAAAAATGGCTAATTAATATTAATTTTTGATAGTGCCACAACCCTGTTTAATAAACGCTAAAAACTGTCAACATCCGAAACGTCAAATTTATCTCCGGTATTAAAAAAATAGACTATAAATATTTGACACGCGTCGTTTTAACAATGTGATTCAAGCGAAATAACTATCCGAATAGTAACCGTATAAACGGACGGATAAAGCGGCGGACGGGGATTCCAGAGCAATCAATCCCAACACACACAAGGAGGCTGCGAACCACCTTCGGTACAACGATTCAGTTAATCGTGACGTTGATTTATTTGCTCTTACACAAGTCGAGGCCGATCGGTTTAGTTTCATACATTGACGATAACATTTGGGGCGAATAATGAAGTGGCTGTTTGTATAATATTGATCAAACTGCCATTCTTGAGTTCACGCTGTATATATGTATGTATGGGAATCCAAATATATATAACTCAAGGAGACTGACTGACATAGTGATCTATCAACGCACAGCCCAAACCACTGGACGGATCGAGCTGAAATTTGGCATGCAGGTAGATGTTATGACGTAAGCATCCGCTAAGAAAGGATTTTAATTAATTCTACCCCCAAAGGGATAAATTAGGGGATGAAAGTTTGTATGAAACTTTGTCAATTTTAAACCGATCCGGCTGAGACTTTGAATGCATAAAGATACTATGACGTAGGCATCCCCTAAGAAAGGATTTTGATAAATTCTACCCCTAAGGTAAAATAACGCGATCGAAGCCGCGGGCAAAAGCTAGTATTTTTATATAATCCTTTTTATACAATTTTATAATTATAAAAGAAGCAATCAGCTCGTCCTCCTCTTCTCTTCATAGAAGGCAAAAGCTAGTTGGTATATAAAGTTATTATATCGGTTTAATTAACTTTACAATGTGTTCAAAACCAAATTGCAAAGTAATTAACACGGTGCAACTTTGAAACGGCGTCGAACTAATACACGGCGAGGCCATGCTAATGTGGCGGACGCACGGAAGGACACACGCATTAAACTTTGTATATTAACAGAGGCTGGGCTTATCGCCCTCCTTGTGTCCGACCAGCCAGCACTGACCCGACGTTGGTCTAATGCCTGTACGCGACATTTGTAATAATTACTAGCTGTACCCGTGACTTCGTCCGCGTCGAATTTAACTTTATTTTTTCTAAAATAACAGTAGTCTATATTACATCAGCTACCTGACAAAAAAAGTCCCGTCAAAATCAGTGAACCAGTGCTGCTTATAGGGACTGGTCTGCTCTTATCACAACGGCTGATTTAATCATTTATATTTGACACAAAAAATTAGTGCTGGTTGGTAGTTTGTATTCACACGTTTCGACTTGTAAATGTAAACTTACAAGGATTATTTAAAAGAGAAACACACAGGTTTCTTGCTACTTCTTCTTATGATAAGACAGTATTCCGAAAGAGCGGTAGATAAAAAAAATTGTTATGACTATTCAAAAGTACTTAAAGTTTATTTGATAAATGATTATCTATTCTATGCTATCCAGTCCAGCCATTTCAGAGATTAGCCGGAACAAACAGATAGGCAGACAGACAAACATAGAAAATAATCTTTGGACAATTCACACAGCGCCATCTAGACCCAAGTTAAGCTAGCTAAAGCTTGTGTTATGGGTACTACATGACTGATATAAATACTTGGACGCATTTTTTTGTAAATACCTAAACTATAAACTTAGAAAACAATCCAAACCAATGATACTCATGATGTATTCATGAGTATCATTGGTTTAAAATATTTTATATTATTAAGGTTACAAATTTGCAACGTGCGAGGAATTGAACATGCGACCATCGTAAAAAAAGCGGTGTGTTAAAAGACCATGTACAATACATAGTCACAAATAACGATAGTAACAGTATATCAAGCGATTATAAATAAACATAATTATGTTCAATTAAATATAAGGACCCAGGTTGAGATAATTGTGGCCAACGACAGCCCCGGTCCGCCGGCCGGGGTCGAACCCGGGCCCGGGGCCGGGGGCGGGGCGGGGGCGGTCACCATACCGCACCGGAACAGCACTTCCGATACATTATTTCAACGCCATAATGAAACGCAAAACAATTAACTACGCTGATTAGAAATTAAAGTCTCTCAACAGATCAGGTTCCATTTGATCTCATTTACGCGCCCAACGTTAATTGAGTATAAAATAAGCTTGAAAAAAAGGAACTCAATTGAGTGTCTTGCTAGTTCTTCTCAATTGGATACTGAACTGGATGGTAGGGAAAAAATATAATAAATTTAAAATCAAATTCAAAATATATTTATTCATGTAGGTCTATTACAGACTCTTATGATATGTCAAATCTACCGTCAGCTCGGAATGATTTCGAGATGAGAACTGACCAGAAACTCAGCTCGTATTCTTTTCAAATAAATGTTGTACATGTTTACAATAGTACAGAGTCATTTAACTTCAAATTTAGAAATAGAGTGTTGAAGTTGATTAAAAAAAAAAAAAAAAAACAAATATATTACAATCTAAAAATGTAATGAGTCTGTGGTCTGTATTTAGTAGTATTAGAGAGTTGTTAAAATTAGTGGAATAAAAAGTTTGTTGAGAATAAAAATTGTGTGTTTGAGTTTTGAAGGTTGTTTTAGTGAAATAATTCCTTCATATTAAGTGGTCCTTACGATCCGGATAAGTTTAAAATAAAAAAGAACTTGTATTTTGAGTGATATTATTAAATAATTGAACATTTAATAAATACATTGAGCACAGTGTAATTAAGTGAGCGCGAAAATAGATCATAGACAATACCGGTACAGACGTTCCGTTGGACTCAGTTCATAAAGTAACTATTACACAATATTTTATTTGAAATAGTGATTATTGACTTATAATATCGAAACATTTTTTTTTGTTTTAAAAACATTTAACATTTATTCAGTGCATAAAAAATATTTAGAAAAATGGAAAATTTATTAGTGCTTCAAGAAAATAATTATTCTATCTTACAAAAAACTATATCTAATTTTAAGAAAACACCGAAGCCAAGATTAAATAAAAGTTACTTGAAAGTGAGATTAGAAAGTTTAGAGAAACATTGGGATATCTTTGATGAGACACATAGAAATATAGTAAAGACATCTACATTAGAACAAAGAAAGAAGCATGAATATTTTGAAAAGGATTTATTTTCGAAATGCGAAGAAGAGTATTTGTTTTGTAAAGCAGATATCACAGAGATGTTAGAAAGTTTTGAGTCATCAAATATAGTCCAGGAGCCATGTACAAAATATGTAAATCAAGACGTAAAATTACCCAAAATAAATATACCCCTATACCAAGGCGATTATAGCGAGTGGATAACATTCAAAGATTTGTACACATCATTAATTCATAACAATAAAAATTTGAGTAAAATACAAAAGATGCATTACCTGAAGTCCAGTTTAACTGGCGAAGCTGAACAACTTTTGAAACACATACAAATTACCGAAAATAATTATGACATCGCCTGGAGTACATTATCTAATAGATATAATAATAAAAGAATAATAGTAAATTCAATTTTGACTAGACTTTTGGGACAGAGACGAATATTTACAGCTTCATCAAAGAACATAAAAGATTTATTAGATACAACAAATGAATGTTTAAATAATTTAAAGAATAACAACATTAATATTGACAATTGGGATCCATTAATAATACATATAATTAGTAATAAATTAGACTCGGAGTCTCAAAAAACATGGGAAGAAGAATTGCAAACAATACCTGTTGAAGAATTACCTACGTTAGAAAAATTTAAGAAATATTTAGAAGGAAGATTTAGAGTAACAGAAATGATTCAAACATCTTATATGAAAGAGAGAACTCAAATTAAACCAAAATCGTTTGCTACAATAACTAGTAATGCTGTAAAAAGAAATACAGAGTATAGAAGTAGAAATATAGAATGTGGAAAGTGTAAAGAGAATCACGACATATTTTCATGCAAAGAGTTTATTAAGCTAGATCCAGTTATGAGAACAGAGTACATTAAAAAGGAGAGATTATGCTTTAATTGTTTGCGTCCTGGTCATAGTGTAAAATTTTGTAGATATAGAATGAGATGCGATATCTGTAATAGAAAGCACCACACGTTGATACATATAACTAAACCAAATTTAGAGACTATTAATAATGAGACTGAAGAGATTAGAACACCAGATAATCAAACAATGAGTCAACACAATATTCTTTCACATGTGTCAATACGAGGCCGTGTGTCATTACTTGCTACTGCTTTGGTGAATTTAGAAACGAGCAGAGGGCCACAGATTGTACGAGCTTTAATAGACCCTTGCTCAGAAGAATCATTTATAAGTGAAGCAGTTGTAAAGAGATTACAATTGAAATGTAAAGATGTAGAAGGTCAGGTATCAGCAGTTGGACAGATGTCTACCCCGTTCAAGCACGCGGCGGAGATTGAGTTGTCCTCTAGAATGAATAAAAATTATAAATTAAAGTGTACTGCTTATGTAATTAAGCATGTTACAGATATCATGCCCGCTACAAGAATAAATTATGAGCATTGGACACATTTCAGTGGCATCGAGTTAGCAGATCCAACTTAACATACACCTGGAAATGTAGACCTTTTATTGGGTGTTCATGTCTACACAGATATTTTGATGAGTGGAGTTTTAAAAAGAAAGCAAGGAGAACCAATCGCCCAACAAACTTACTTAGGGTGGATAATATCTGGCGGCGAAGCTGTTGAGAGATTACCAAATAAGGGCCAAATTATTAGTATGCATTTGAGTGTAACGTTAGATAATATGCTACAGAGATTTTGGGAATGTGAGTCACTAGAGTCTGAGAATAAAAATACACTTACCTCCCAAGAAGCTAGAGCAGAAGAAATATATGAGAAAACAGTCATGAGAGATGAACAAGGACGATATGTAGTCAGCTTACCATTTGTGAGAGACAATCCAATCTTACCTGAAAATTCTAGAGAAATAGCAATGAGAAGATTAAGAGGTTTAGAGAGAAGATTGGCTGGAAATGAAAATTTAAAACGAGAGTATGATAATGTGTTAAAAGAGTATATAACATTAAACCATATGGAATTAGTAAAAGATGAGAGAGAGAAAGATACAGTCTACTTACCGCATCACGCAGTTTTCAGAGATGATAAAACAACATCGAAAGTACGTGTCGTATTCGATGCTTCGTGTCGAGGTACAAACGGAGTATCACTTAACGATGGGCTTTTGATTGGACCTAATTTACAAGAAGAGTTAAGAGATATTATCCTAAGATGGAGAACACATAAAATAGTTTTTGTGGCAGATATTATTAAAATGTATCGCCAGATAAAAATACAAGAGAGAGACACAAAATATCAGAGAATATTATATAGATTTAATCAAAATAATGAAATACAAACCTATAAATTACTGACAGTTACCTTTGGCATGGCTTCAGCACCTTACCTTGCAATAAAAACCATGAGACAGCTTGCTAAAGATGAAAATACACAGTATCCTGTTGCCTCGAAAATTGTGAATTCAGACTTTTATATGGACGATGTATTAACTGGTTTTGATAATGTGTGCGATGCGATAAATGCACAAAAAGAGTTAGCAGAAATGTTATTGAAAGGAAAATTTGAATTACAAAAAATATCTTCAAATAGTCAAGAATTTATGAATTCAATAGATCCTGAGAAAAGAGTGAATAGTATTGTATTAGATATAAATCATAAAGAGACTGTGAAGACTTTGGGTATTATGTGGGAGACAAATGAGGACAGTTTAAAAATAGCACCTACTTATATGAAAAGCGAAAATACTAATTTACTTACTAAGAGAAATATATTGCGCCAGATAGCTTCTTTATTCGATCCTATGGGTTGGTTATCACCTGCCATAATTAAAGCAAAGATATTTATGCAAAAGCTCTGGCTAAATCAAGTAGATTGGGATGAAGAACTGTCGAATGATCTGAAAGAAGAATGGAATAAATATAAAAATGATTTACCTGTACTGTCCGAAATCAAGATTCCTAGATGGAATGGAAGTACTATTGATGTGGAAGTGGAGTTACATGGATTTGCAGACGCCTCGCAATCAGCATATGCAGCCGTAGTTTATACTAGAGTATTGAGTAATAATAAAAATCCCTGCCAAACAACGTTGATTATGGCAAGAACTAAAGTTGCGCCTGTAAAACAAATATCTTTACCGCGCTTGGAACTATGTGCAGCAGCATTGTTAAGTAAATTACTTAAACATGTTATGAGAATACTTTCCATTGATACCAGTAAAACATTTGCTTGGTCTGACTCCAAAGTAACATTGGCCTGGATAAATGGCGACCCAAATAAATGGACACCATTTGTTAAAAATAGAGTTATAGAAATTAGAAACAATTTGAATATTCAGTGGTTGTACATTAATACAAAAGAGAACCCCGCTGATCCAGCATCACGAGGATTATTACCCAGTGTACTAAAAGAGAGTCATTTATGGTGGCAAGGTCCAGAATTTCTGCAAATGTCTAATTTTATGTTACCAAAAGATATAATTCCTGAAACAGAGTTGGAAAAAAGAGTTCAGATTAAATGTAATACGACAGTTATAAAAACTAAAGATGATGAATTTAAACTTACCTTATTGAATAGATTTTCGTCACTGAAGAAACTATTGAACGTTGTTGCCTTTTGTAGAAGATGGATGAAAAATGTAAAAAGAGAAAATATTAAACATAAAAGCATAGATTGTGAAGAAAGAGATAAGGCACTTACCGTTTGTGTTAAAATAGCTCAGCAAATAGACTTTACAGATGAAATAGAAACCCTGAAAAAGAAGAAAATTATTAAAAGATGTAGTCGAGTATTACCATTATGTCCTTACCTTGATGAGAATGATGTTCTGAGAGTTGGTGGCCGTTTAAAGCATGCAGAGCTGAAATATGAAAGAAAACATCCTGTCATACTTACCAGAGATAATCCACTTATACCACTTCTGTTGGATGATGCACACAAAGAGACGCTGCATGGAGGTCCTCGATTAATGACTTCATACCTGCAAAATAATTATTGGATTATAAATGGCGGTCAAAGAATAAAGAGATTTTATAGACAGTGCAAAAAATGTGCTATATATAATGCTACTACTAGTAATCAAATAATGGGAAACTTACCTGACGTTAGAGTGAATCCATCTCGCCCATTTTCAATAAGTGGAGTCGATTATGCTGGTCCTATACTATGTCGAATGAGCAAAGGACGAGGAGCTAAAGCATATAAATCATATATATGCCTATTTATTTGCATGGCAACAAAAGCCATACACCTTGAGTTAGTCAGTGACATGACAACAGAAGCATTTATTTCGTCATTTAAAAGATTCGTTGCACGAAGAGGTCGATGTTATGAGCTGTGGAGTGATCACGGAACTACGTTTATATCAGCAGAGAAAACCCTATTTGAGATGTGGAAACAGGGTAGAAACGAACTTCCTGAAGAATTGAGAATTTTGTTGGATGATAGAGGCACTGTTTGGAAATATATACCACCTGGCGCTCCTAACTTTGGAGGCTTATGGGAAGCCGGGGTGAAATCTGTGAAGTATCACCTTAAGCGTATACTAGGAGATACTACGCTTACTTTTGAGGAGTTATACACAGTCTTGACTCAAGTAGAGGCTTGTCTTAATTCGCGTCCACTAACAGCACTTAATGATGATTACGAGTATCTGACACCCGGACATTTCCTTGTTGGAGAGCCTACTATAACTTTACCAGACAGAAACTATGAAAAGGTAAATGTATCCAATTTAACGAGATGGCAATTGACGCAGAAAATGGTGCGTGATTTTTGGTCAAGATGGCAAACTGAATATTTGTCTCGATTACAGCAACGTCCGAAATGGATGAGAGTTCAAAAAGATTTCGAGATTGGAGATATGGTCTTAATAAAAGACTCAAGAGCGTCTCCATCCAGTTGGCGCCTTGGTCGAATACAAAAGAAGTATCCGAGTTCCGATGGCCTAACTAGAGTTTACGATGTTCGTACAGCCACAGGTGTTATGCAGCGTTCGGTGTCTAAACTTTGTAGACTTCCTGATTTCAACTGAGAATGATACGTACAAGGATATGGGCATATCCTTGGCGGCGGAGAATGTTGAAGTTGATTAAAAAAAAAAAAACAAATATATTACAATCTAAAAATGTAATGAGTCTGTGGTCTGTATTTAGTAGTATTAGAGAGTTGTTAAAATTAGTGGAATAAAAAGTTTGTTGAGAATAAAAATTGTGTGTTTGAGTTTTGAAGGTTGTTTTAGTGAAATAATTCCTTCATAGAGTGACCACCAGCATATGCTATAATAATTATAGAAAATTGACATTCATAAGTGGCTAGAATGTCCTATATAAATAAATGACTTTTGAGTTTTAATTTGAATTTACTAAATAATTACAATTTCATAATTAACAGCAAAGAACTTAGAGTTATGTTGGGTCCACAGTTAAATATATTTATTCAAACAAACAACAATTTACAAAACAGAGTCCATGTGGACCACAACTAGGCATAATGTAATAGGTACATAGTTACCAGCGCTGATTAAGAATTAAAGTTGTATATCTACCACGGATCTTTAGCTTCTAACCATTATACGACAATTAATATTATTACATTACATTAAAATTAATAATAATAATAATCTCAGGACAATTCACACAGCGCCATCTAGACCCAAATTAAGCTAGTTAAAGCTTGTGTTATGAGTACTAGATAACTGATACATATACATAGATATATTTCTTTTGTAAATAAATACATATTATATATAGAAAACACCCAGACCAGAATGTTTGTGTCGTGCGAGGAATCGAACCCGCGACCATCGGTCGTAAAGCAGTGTGCTAGACCGCTAGATCACCGATTCACCGAGTCATCATTATCACAAATAAATGTATAAAATTGTAGGAATATTATTTATGTAATTGAAAAGCCGATTAATATAACAGCCCATCTCATGATGAGTGAAAATGTGTTACTACATCCCCTTACCTATGGTACATGAATCACAACCCTCGGAGCAACAAAAGGTATTTGACTGCCCAACCTCACGCTCCCACATATAATTTGATCCCTAACATTTTATTATTATTACAGTTACATATTACTATAATGTAGGTATATATATACTATGTAGGGACCTAACTAAGTCGAGCTAGTTGTTTTAAATAAATTCTACACGAGTTTATTATGAACGTACGTGTATGTAATATTATGTTATCTGTGGTACGTGTTACCACTGAACATAATTACCGTCTGTACCAATTAGCCGGTGTCGAACGAACTGATAAAAAGGTAGAAAGCCACCCGTAAAGTAATTAATCAAACACTTTGTACTATAAAATGGGGGTGAAACTTCAGTCAAACTGTAATGTCGGGCAAAAAGGCTCATTTAAAACTTTCTTTCAGTTAATCGCTTTTACTTGGGCGCAGGTGAGCGGGCGGGGGTGCGAGGGGGGGATGATGTACACTCCACTTTATGATAAACCAAACCACCACTCAAACAAAATGAGAATCTGTGCCCACTATAATTAATTGTGTTCACAGCATAAATCATTTTGAGTTGTGCCTACCACGCCACAAGGAATTATATTGGAGCCATGGATCAAAGCTATTTACAGATTTTAACTGTAACTAGTCTGTATTTATTAGTACTATTACTAGACTTTAAAAAAGATCAAATTAAAAATGAAACTGTGGAAGACAGATTGATGCGGGAGAATACAAGAAGAGATGTTAGGGGTAACTTGTTGCCTAGTTTTAAGGTAGTGGAGCATTGTCCGCGTTATCAAGTTGTAAAAGCAAATAGTAAATTAGCAGTAAATTTAAAAGACAGAAGCTTTTCGTCGCTAACTATGAGCCTAATGAATAAGTCACTCAGACGGCAATGGAGAAGGCTATGCCCGGAGTTTCTGCGTGGTCGAATCAGAAATGAGGAGGTCCGCAGAAGAACCAGCGTGACCGACATAGCCCGAAGAATGCGACACTGAAGTGGCAATGGGCAGGGCACATAGCTCGTAGGACAGATAGCCGTTGGGGCAGTAAAGTCCTCGAGTGGCAACCGCGGACCGGAAGACGTAGCTTGGGTAGGCCTCCAGCAAGGTGGACCGATGATCTGTTCACGATCGCTGGAAGGCGATGGATGCGAGCAGCGCAGGACCGATCCTTGTGGAAATCTTTGGGGAGACCTTTGTCCAGTGGTTGTCTTCCTAGATGATGATGATGATAAGAACTTCTTCACTATTAAAATATAAATTATTATTATGTTTACACAAAAAAAAATAGTTTAGTGTAATATTTTTATGAATTGTACTTATATTTAAACACAATTGTATTATTGTTTTATTAATAAATAGCTGTAGATATTTAACCAAAAATTTGTAATAGGTACAATCATAAAATTTTCAATGAATTAATGATTACAATCTTGACTCATTTCTGTTAATTTTATACAAATGGGCCTCAATTTGTTTGCTAATATTTATTCAGTAACAATCACATTGTAAAACTAGCTGTACACGCAACTTCGCCAGCGTGGGATTTTACTTCATTTTTCTAAAAGTCACTCCTTATTACATCAGCTACCTGCCAAGAAAAGTTCCGTCAAAATCAGTTCAGCCATTTCCGAGATTATCCGAAACAAACAAACAGACAGACAAAAATTGTGAAATGTTATTTTGGTGTATGTTTCGTATTTATATTCATATGCATGTAGTAAAAAACGGTTATTTCAATATTACAAACAGACACTCCAATTTTATTTATATGTATAGATGTATAAATTTTATACTTATTGTTACGTGGAATTAATTTAAACCCACGTTATATTATATTTACACGTGTCTCGCTGTCACGTCTATAAATAGTCTGTCGCCAAGCAACTGACGTGCTTACATCCTGTTTTCCGGTTTGAAGGGAAAATGGAAAATGAGTGAAATTACAGAGTACGGAACTGTAATATGTAACTTCCCTGGGATGGTAACATATGGGGTGTTACATCGAGCTCCATCCACGTGTACGGATGGCGGCGACAGTGGCAGCAGCCCACACACGGAGTCACAGATGTCTCATACATCTCCCTATTTTATCCCTTAGGGGGTAGAATTAATCAAAATCCTTTCTTAGCGGATGCCTACGTCATAACATCTACCTGTATGCCAAATTTCAGCCCGATCCGTCCAGTGGTTTGGGCTGTGCGTTGATTGATCACTATGTCAGTCACCTTTAAGTTATATATTAAGTATTTATTTAATATTTAATTTTAAATTACTATACATATTATTATATAACTAGTATTTACATAACCTAATTGTACAACTAAGAACTAAAATAAAAAGCTTAAAAAAAAAAAAAAAATAGAATATGATAACTAAAATATATTATTAAAAGTGGTCCCTTTAGGCAACGTTCCGAAGATACTGGCAGCGTTCCCTCTTTGAATAGCTAGACTAATTCTTTGTCCGAGGTAGCTGCCAGCCCTTCGGTCTTCTGTGATGTCGACTAACCTTTTCGTTATTTCTTTGAAAAGTCTTATAGCGCTAGGACCCCACGGACCAAGGGTCTCGACACCGAATGGAACAAATTCATATGCCTCGTGATTTTGAAGCAAGAATTTGTAACCTATTTTATTGTAAGACCTGGGGGCGTATTATGAACTCTTTAAAATCCAGTCAGTTTCCAGGCAGTTCAGTTTAAGCCGTAAACTGAATGGGAATAAGAGTTCATAATACGCCCCCTGTAAAGATGAACAATGTTTAAGTCAATAAATTGTCTATCAATTTGAATTGTATTGATCGAAACCCACTTGTAAGAATTTCTATGAAACGATACATATGAATATAGTATAGTGTACGAGTATATTAAAATGACTACATACCAAAAGTAACAATTCAAACAGGCCGGCAGCAACAGAAATCCTCGGCATGCAGTAGGGCAGCTGCGAGCCGATTTCGATATAAGAGATGCCACGAGGCGGCCGTTTCCTCGCCTGTTTAATTTTCAAATACCTGACAAATACCAGGATCAACGTAAATAGCCTGCCACCGCCGGCTTACGGCATTCGATTCTATATTATACTAACTGTACCCGCGACTTCGTTCACGTGGAATTTAACTTTATTTTTCTGAAATGGAAGATTTTTTCTAAAATTAAAGTAATCAAAATTACTCCTTATTATGGTAATCTATACATATATTTTATTTATATGTATAGATTACCTTATCTATATAGATATACTATGCAGATAATAATATCGTAAAACGAGGAATCAGTAGACATACTTCAAAGGCGATTAAATTAGTATGAAATCAAAATATAAAAGAGGGTGTTACTGAGGGTCTGTATTAAGCCTGGTTTAAAATGAGACACGTTCCTAGATCTGGTAAAATATGTGCAATGCGATCGCTATCAAAAATGTAAAGACAATGAAGACTTGACGACCTCGGCGGTCTAGCACACCGCTTTACGACCGATGGTCGCGGGTTCGATTCCTCGCACGGCACAAACGTTTGTATTCATGAGTATGATTGTGTGTATCGGGTACTATACTGGGTGTTTTCTATGTATAATATGTATGTATTTACAAAAAAAATATTTATGTATATGTATCAGTTATCTAGTATCCATAACACAAGCTTTAGCTAGCTTAACTTGGGTCTAGATGGCGCTGTGTGAATTGTCCTGAGATTATATTATATTATAATGAATATGGCATAAGAAAACAAACGGTATATAAAAACAGAACGTCAAACGTAACGTATAAAATTCAAAAATATATAAACTATTAAAAAGGCTGCCATCGGCAGGTCATACTTATATACTTCCAACTCGAGTTGGATGAATTCAACTCGAGTTAATTCGAATTCACCGCAACTCGAGTTAACTCGAGTTGACACATCTCTAGCAACGGTCGTCTTGTTTACGTGCGTTTTTTAAAATGATAATGTAAAAAACTTCATAAGCGGCTAAAATGTCCTACATGAATAAATGATTTCTGAATTTGAATTTGAATAAAAAATTATTCCCAATTGCAAATATCCAAATGCTGTACTTTGT